TTGTACAAACAATATGATTTATGCTGAACATTTCCTTTCCTGCTGGGAGTCTGGCATTTTGGTATGTGCTAGGCAGAGTTTGTGTATCTAACTAGCTTCCAATTAAAATCAAGGGTGCTGAGTCTCTAATGGCCTTCCCTGGGCATAAATATCACAAACATGTTGCTAAATTTTCACTGCTGGAAGAAGTGTGCCTTGTGTGACCTTTCACGAGAAGGACAGAATATAAGGAATCCCATATATGGATTCTTCCAGACTCTACTAGTGTCTTTTCCTCTTATAATCTAGTTGTATATCCTCACTACATCACTGTAATAAATTTTAGCTGTAAATACAACAATATGCCAATTCCCACGAGTTCTTCACAAGAATCTCTGAATGTAGTAGTGGTCTTGGGGACCTCCAATCTAGGCAAAATTTGAAGAGACAATGACTGACAGTTTTCTAGAATGGAAGAAAGGCATGCATCCTATCCCTGAATGTCCAGAGTCCTGAGTGTAGTAAATAAAGGCAAATCTACACTTAAACAAAGTTCACTGAAAACACAAGACTTTATTTATTTATTAAAACCACAAGATTTTAAAGTCGGAAAATAAGTATTGAAAGCTATCATGGAGAAATTTTTAAATGCACCTATAAGGAAACAGATCAACATCAGACTTCATCAGCAAAATAAAAAAGCCATAAGATTAAAGAATATGTTCAAAGTCCTGAGAGAAGCTGTCATCAATGCCTTGATAAATTATCATAAAGAAAGATGACAAAATAAAGACATTTTTGGAAAAGACAAGACAGAGAATTTGCCAACACAAAGTCTGGCTAAGAATAATGTTTGGTACTTAAATTATTTGAGAAGAAAATGACCAAAGGGGAAAAGGCCAAGAGGTAAAGAAAATCCAGCAATGGCAGGAAAAAAGAGGTAAAGAAAAAGCAGGATATATAAAAAATACAATAAAAGAAGAAATACAAATGTAGTAATAACACAATCAATATTAATTAAAGCCAAGCATAACAAATTACATTTTTAAAAATCAGCTCTTTGTTTTCAAAAGACAATTAGAGCAAAATGAGAGAAAAATATTGAAAATAAAATTATGGGAAGAGATATATCCAACACTAATAACCAGAAGAACATTGGTCAAACAATGCTTAATGTTGTACAAAACCAAATGATCTTGATGACAAAAGCAAATGACAGAATATGAACATATTATAAAGCAATTTCACTTAAATAGACACAAACCTCTTAAATACACAAGGCAAATTGATCCTATTTGTGTGAGAAAAAATGTAACACATCTAATAATGTTAAAAGTGTACACACTCTACTACTTATTCCATTTGTAGTTATACCATAGGGAAATTCTGCAAATGTGAATCAGTATACATGTACAGAATGGCAAAAAAGTATTAGAAACAACCAATAGATGTATGAATTAATGAACCATGATACTCAGAGACTAGAATGTTATACAAGAGTTAAAATGAATGAACTAAATGTAATGAATCAGCATAGGGAAAGTTTGAAGGGCAATGCTGAATACAGAAAGCAGGTTGTAGAAAGACTCCTATTGTTCAAGTATACTAATCTGGTAAGTTTATAAAAAGAATGTTATATTGATTACAGATACAAATATGTACTAAAAGTATAAAAACATGGATTAGAAGGATACTCACCAAATTCTTGATATTATTTGCCTAGGGAGAGAATGAGGGGAGCAGGACTCAGGAGGGGAAAGGGGGCTTCACTTTTATTTAAATAAAACTCATTACCACCAAATATCAAAATGTTAACATTTGCTAATTCTGGGAGGTAACTGTAAGGGTATGTTGTGATTATGATTTTCTACTCTTCTGCAGTTTTAAGAGAAATGCCTTAAGGTAGGACTTCTGGAATAGTGGGATGAAGACCTCAGTTAATCCTCTCCCCCATAAAAGCAATGAAAATACTTGCAAAATTACCAAAATACATTTTTCAGTACTTTGGAAATTAACCAAAGGCATACAACAAATTAATAAGCATTTACTGAAGAATAATCAGTGAACCTCAGTAAGAATAGCTAAGTCTGTGGTATTTCACTTGATGCGATGCACCCCCCACCTCTGACCTCAAACTGCTGGCTCCCCAACTCTGTGATCCATTAGCAGTGAAAACTTGCAGTCTCACAGCAACTCGAACAGCTGACCTATTTTGGAATTCCACCAAAAGCTCCATCCCCAGGTTGCTATCACTATTTGACGTAACTTGGAGCTCAGCTCCAAGAAAGAAAGGATACTATATGGTAACTCAAATCCACATGAAGCAATAAAGAGTACAGTAAAGGTAACGTGAAGGTAAATGTTAACACAGCAGGCCTGGCTCTTGACTGAGGTCTGGGAACTCAGTTTTGGGAACGTTCCCTATGTTGGTAAGACTATTTGCTTGAGGCACTGAACACCTGTTCTTTTGGGGGTCTAGATGCCTGACCATTGAAGTTTGATGATTTTCTGGCCTGAAGTGCCTATTTTTAGTGGGTCAATTTGGAATTTCCCACAGACAAAGTGCACTTGCCTTGGACTTGCCACTTGCACTTGGCTGTCTAGCTCTGCAGCATCTTGGCTTTGCATGAGAAAAGAGCAACCATCCCTGTGGAATTTATCTCTTACCAAGTACCCAGCAATACTCGTGAAATGATCCCACATTGAGGTACATGGAGAAATGTCAGATAGCATGAGATAAAGGGGAAAAGATCTTATAAGCTTACAGATAGAAAAAAATTGATATTAAATATCAATAATTGGAATAGCTTCAGAGTTCTCAAAAGGAACATTAAAATCAGAGGACAATGGAGCAATGCCTTCAAAAGTCTAATGGAAAAAAATGTCCATCCTAGACCTCTACCCTAAGCTCAACTATCCATCTAGGATGAGGATATAACAAACACTTTTAGATATTCAAAAATCTCAAAAAAATTTATTTCCTGTAGACCTATATTCATTCTTTCTAAAGAAAGTAATGGAAGAATGTGCACCAATGAAATGTGGAAGACGGCATGGCATAAAGCAAATAGGGATTCTAACAATGCAGAAAGTAGAGAGGATCCCCAGAATAATGGGGAAGAGAGATGTCAGAATAGCAGCAGCTGTGCAAGTCAGAATGAGAATCCACCTACAAGGGAGTGATCAGATGGCTCTAGACAAACTTAAGGTATGACACTGATGGAACACTTGATAGCTCTGGAAGCCTTCAGAGTCAGTCTAGACAACTGGTCATTGAGTGTTTCTCTATGGAAGTACATAGAGAAAGAAGCAAATGAAAGAAATACAATAAATATTAACCAAAGGAAACAAAATGTTATGTAGGAAAGGTAAATTAATCATAGGTTACTACATGACTCAGATATGTATAGTCATAATGTTGTAAATAACAGTACTGATGGAAACCAAAGTTATGATATAATCATATGGAGAACACGGGGAACAAGTCTTTGTGTGTGAGTGGCAGAAGCAATGAAGTGAGCTAAATCTTATTCTTCCATAACAGAAAGTTCTGAATAATTTTTATAAAATATAGATAAATTATAAAAAATAGTGATATAAAAAATACTTGCATATTCACCACTCATTAAAAAACAAATTATCGTTACTTCTGAAGGTTTTCACGTACCTATTTCTCTTTCTTCTCGCATAATCACGATCCTACCTATTTCACGTACCTATTCTCTTTCTTCTCGCATAATCACGATCCTGAATTTTATGTTTATCATGCTCTTGACTTTCTTTAGTTTTACCACATTAATTTTACTCATCAAAC